CCTAATGAAATGCGTTGATATGTCGTTAGTTAAGAGATACAATATACTAAGCCATATATCTGATAAGGGAAATATTATAGGGTAGGCCAATAAAAAGGAAATAGCTTTCAGATACTTATTTTTCTGAATATACTCAAAAACGAGTAGATTTTGTTTTAAAGGATGTAATCCTAAATCGAATTTGTATTATTTGCAGGTATAAAAAGTATGACATAAATTTTTCTTTGTAGTAACATATCTTCTGTAACTGTTAGATGGATTACCAAATTGTCGCTTTTTCAGATAGAACAGGAAATTATATATTATATTTTCGAAAATAGTTCGCTCTTTAAATTTTTTCGTATTTTGCCAGTCTTCTCAAGTACTGTCAATAATTTTTTACCCCTAAGGTTCTTATGTCGGCCTCGATACTGTCGAGTTCATTTTCCATTTCGGTCATCCGTTCAATGTTTTCCCTATTGGTCTACTTCTTTCAAAAATATTTCTTGTAACAAAAGTTTCGTTTATTCTGGATACACCTAGTCCAATCAATCTGTCACTGCCTGATCTTAAATTTACAAAAAATACCACCTGGAAACAAAAAATATGGTGATATAGGAAAAAAATCTAAAAAAGATAGTGAATTTTTCCTGTGGGGAAGTTAACCTAAAAAATTCATAAAAGTAAAAAAATGGTTTTTTGCTAATAAAAAAAACTTAAAGTCCAATCGAAAAAAGTTAAATGAGAAAGTTGTAGCTATTAATATTTCGACTTTTTTTGTTTTTGCTGTAAATGTAACCCTCGGCAAGCAAAAAAGGTACATTTTTTAAAAATATCGATCGTGATATCGATTTTTCGAAAAAAAGGTCATCTCGGAAACGAATAGTCGTAGAGAAACGAATCAGGGATTATTTTTTCCTTAAAAGTTGTACTTTCATGGTAAAAAAGAGTGACAACGATTTTATTCATTTCAAGTATCCAAAGATGATTTTGAAAAAAATAAAAAAATTTTGGTCGGGTTTTAGCTTAGCTAAAACTATTCTAAAGATAAAGATATTCTAGCTAAAGATATTCAAGAAAAGCCCGACCATAAAATTTTTACTATTTTCAAAATCGTCAATTCTGATTCTCTGGCAATTCTTTTTAAGGCTTATATTACACAATAGTCGAATTGGAGCTACATTCAACAAATTATTTAAAAGCTTATAACTAGATATCGACTATTAAATAAATAAACAGTAGTAGCGTTGTAGTAGCAGAAATAGGCTAAATCTGTGGCCAAGCCCTGTAACGCTTTATGTTCACAACACACAATTCCACTGACTACCATAAAAAGGCATGCCATACACTCGACCAAGCTAAGAGTCAAACTCATTCACACACGCCCAAACGACAATGAATTGCACGGCCATCTTCTCTCAGCAAAAAACCTGGATTCTTCGCCGGCACGTTAGGCTGACAGCATTAGTGCCGCTAGATACGTATCGAATAAATTGATCGATGCGAAGCTTCAGATCACAGGTAGATATGTACATATTATTGTTTCGTAAATACATATATTTTATTATTAGCTCTCACATGTTTTTGCTCTTTATTAAGCTAATTCAAACAATTTGTAAGAAATTATTATTTTGTTAACTTTTGCTGGTACTTATTATTACGTACTAGACGTATACAGTGTGTATCAGCCAAAAGGAATAAATAAACGCTCGGACACGTCGATTGGTAGTTTTAGTTGCGCATTTTTTTCAATAAAAACTTTGTATACAGGGTGTGTCATGTAACAGTGGTCAATACCAATTTTCTTATTTTAAATGCAACATCCTGTATATTATTCAATTTTTGGATTCTTCAGAAAATTCTAGACATATTTCATGTACAATGTCCTATACCTATCTTCAACTGTTTCGGAAATATTAAGTGTTTTTGTTGCATTTAAAATAAGAAAGTTGGTATAGACACACCCTATATAAAAAGTTTTTGTTGAAAAAATGCGCAACTAAAAATCGACGTGTCCAAGCGTTTTTTCAAATACGCCCCCATTTATTTATTATTGAATTTATTCCATTTGGCTGATACAAACTGTATGTATTTTATGATAAATTATATGTGAAGCGTTTAGTGTAGACAAATAAACTCTACCTTTTTTGTTTTATACTATTATGCAAATACTTACATATAGACGGCTGGCAACGGTACATAGTCCATCTGCCTTTACATGAGAGCGACAAAGTAAAGTAAAGAAATTCGTGCAATAGACAAGGATGGCTATAGTAAAGACGTTTCATAATCTGAATAGTCACTCCCACTTCTAACCGAGCGCATCCTATTGACTATTCAGATTATGAAACGTCTTCAATATAGCCATCCTTGTTTATCGTACGAATTTCTATGACTTACTTTGTCACTCTCACGTAAAGGCAGATATTCTTATAATGTAAAGAATGCGGTTATAAGAAGGCAATGGTTTTGTTACTTTTTGTTTGATTAAATTTTCATAAAACAGAACACAGCTTACAGCCAACCCTGTAACCACGGTACAGCCGCTCCCATATTTCCGATTTCTATTTATGAATAAACACTAGATGCCCCAATACATTTTAAACAAAAAGTGAGCAGTTAATGTACCAAACGATGACATGTATGCTTATAGAGTATAATTTGTGATCTACATCCATTTAGATATTCATACACAATTCTAGATGGGCATTAAATTACTGAAACTGTTGAAATATACAACTCCTGGTCCTCTTTTATAATATGCCATTGTGTTGTGTCGTAATGACATATTTTGTAGAAATATTTATAAAATAAGTAGTAGGAGTATAACACAAAAATTAACTTCTTGTGGTCTAAATGTACCATTTCTCCAGATACCACCCATGTCGATTTTTTATCGCGGTTTTGTGAAAGATAAAATTTATGATGATGAAAAGGAAGAATTAAATGAGAGAATGAAGACCACGTATACTGAAATATGACAAAATCAATTATTAAGATATAAACCCACTTTTTATTGGAAAACTCTGCACCCTAACAATTTGAACAAAACTTAAAAATTATTTTCTACACTGAAAGAAATGCGCTTTATTCTTTATTAGAATTCTATATGCCATTATAAGACCATTGTATACTATATATGACAGTTAAACAGGTGAATATTGGATATAAAACGCGTACTGCTAACACAGTTGTATAGTGACTATCAACCTTATTCTTTATTAAATTATTGTATAACTAGTATACAACGTTTTTTATACCCTTTACGAAATAATAGCAATAACTGTTATTAAAATGTTCCATATCGTTATTAGAACATCTAGTACTGGTTATAAGTTTTATAATAACAAACGTATTAAACTGTTGTATACTCTGTATGAGTTAAAAACATATGACATTAAGTTTTCAGAAATTTTATTGGATAACTGTAATTACAAGCTAAGGTTCTAATGTAAACATAAAACATACTTTTAAGCATTAAAAATGATGACAAATCGCTCCCAACGATGCACCCGTATTTTCTTGTATTACATGAGAATTTGCACTATAACTCTTCCACCTTAAGGTTGAAGCATCCCCTGAAAGGTTAAGCTTCTTTCCATCTAATTCTATTTCCTCTGGTTGATTGACTTTAAACCCATGCTCTTCTTTGTCACCGTTAACCTTCTGTTCCTCCATATTATGTAAAACTTAACATCAGAGGTTTCTAATAGGACATACAAAATAATAATTTTTAAGACAAGATTTACTTTTGAAAAAACAAAACAATTACAAGCCATAAAACAGTTAGATACTTACATAGTTTTCCATTTCACACAACGCGATATGATCGTGTATCCCACAAAACATGTGCCTATACTGTCTATTTTCATCAAACTAGACGTGTAATAGTCGTAAGTCGATGCACAGCGGACTGTCGGAAATTTTACGATCATAACCGATTATGCACCGAGAGGTGACGATCACTCAGCCATTAGAAGACGCGTTTTATACGTTAAAAACGGAAACATATTCAGTACAAGAACGAATAATTCTGTTAATACAATTGTTATATACAAATTTGGATACTGGTTTTTATACAACAAATCTTCCCTACTATACAATTGGAACATATAGTCTATAACACCTAATAATGTACGAGTATAACTCATTCATTATAACCTTTATTTCATAGATGTAGAAGGTGTATTAAGCAACTTCCAGTTAAACTCATTGAATAATGAGTATGGGGATGATTGTTTTTTTTTTAAATAAAAGTTGTATATTGGTTATAAAAGTTTTAATATGCGCTATACTCATTATTCTAGATAAACAGTTTAATAAGCCCATTTCTTTCAGTGTAGTTGTAGACAAGATTTTTATTCCCTGTGTATTTAAGACAATTATATCTGTCTTCTTCATAATGTCTGCACCTCAGAACGTTGCTTATTATAAATAGAGGCTACATGCGATATAAGCAGCAGTATTAATTGGGAAGGTTTTAGTAATTATTTTACCAGTGAGCCAAGTCTAGCATGTTTTATAAAGTTTCAAAAGAACCTCATTTAATTTGGAGCTTGTAAGAGGAAAATAAATTGACTTCAGAAGTATTCTATTTACTCACAGGCGCTTTTCAGAAATTCGTGTTAACTTATGTTGGCCTTTTCCTTTTCTTAAATATTTTAGAATTAATTTAAACTTTATACGAATTTGAACATATAAATTTATCTTGACAACCGTATGGTTATTTTTCTTTGAATCATATATTCTGAACTTTTAACGGTAACCGTAACTGACATTTATAGCTTCCTTCCTTTAAAAGTAAGTTGATAAACCTAACTCACAGTTGATGTATATATCAGAACCAATTTATGTATTTTGTACTACTCAGCAGTAACTGTAACATATAATTTAGGAAGGTGTCACTTTTCAAGATTTGTTTTTAATTTTACTAGTTGACCTGTTTAAATAAAAGTGTCTGTAAATTATTTTTATATTTATGGTATTCCGATGTCCAAGATTATTAGAATTTCCTTTTACAGGTTCTGGGATCAAAGAAAGAATATCATTTCGTAAGTCATGCAATTCCCGCGGCTCGTGCAAAAAGAAGTATCCCTCACGTGAGAAAATTGAAGGTCGACCCTCTGGTAAGTAAATTATGGAGTAATCAGTGTCGTTTCTTTTTTTTATGGTGACGTTAGAATCGTTTAATATTGTATAATTTGTCTTATCTATGTTGTTAATAATTCTTATAATCGGTAGCCTTATAAAGACGTACTTTGAAAATACTGAAGACTTATAAATTCAGTCATGGGAAATATCACAAAATGACACGTAAATAATTCTGTAATAATTTTTCCATTTCTAGTACATATTTTTATGAAAAGAAAAGATAAGGATCATTTATGGATTGGTTTAAAATTTTTATAAACACCCACGTTAATTAGCTTTATAGTTAGGTATGCGATATGACAAGATACGATATAAAACGTAGTCTTTTTTATACACAACATTATGTTACAATAAAAGTTACCAAAACTTAAATGCAAACATTTCGGAAACATTGGCGCATTCGCCATAATACTCAAAGAGTTTAGATACAATTTATTTAATGTTTGTCTCAATAAATTTCATTAAAATTATCGATATAGGACAGAATATAAAACTTAATCATCGAGAAAAATTGTTATACAGTATGTCTCACTAATTTGGAACCATATGGAAAATTTTTTATTATGTATTAATTTTAGGAAAAAAAGTTATTCTTCATAAACAGTTCTGCATGTTATAAAATCTAAAATGCAATAATTAGATTTTAAATTTTTTCAGTCGTATACGCGGTTTGTCAAAAAATATAAATTTTACTCAAGAGTAAAGTCCTACTATATTTGACAATATCGAAAATTGTTATAAAGAAAAGTTGTTCAGAACTAAAAACTACGTTCAAATATGTAATTACATCCAATTACATTAAAAAATATATTTTTCTTTTTTTTTGTCTACAATGTCTGTGCAAATTTAACTGTCTAACTTTATGTTTAACTTTTTAACTTTATCTAGGATGCACTGATATACAAATGATTTGTTGATAGCAAGAAATGTTTGACAGTGAGTTTCAAAACGCGTTAGAATTTATAAGACACATAAAAATGGTAGCGTTATTAACTTGTGAAGAGAAAATAGAATTTGTTTTGATTGTGAGAGAAAATTATAAAACACATAGAGAAGCAGCTATTATTTTAAATAATAGACATCCCAATAAAAATATTAATCATTCAACTGTTACGAAATTAGTAAATAAATTTAAGGGTACTGGAAGTATTAAAAATAATTTTTATGGAAAACGCCAAAAGCTGGTTACCGATGAGAATACGCAATTGTAGCAAATCCAAAAGTGTTATTGCGCTTTGAATTTTGCTGGCTCATCCAAGGAGAGTTAGAAGAGGAATTTTTTCCAATGAAGCAACGTTTTCGTCAAATGGAACAGTCTCGTCACAACATTTTCGCTGGTGGTCTGAAGAAAATCCAAATTTTACAATAAAGTCTCATGACCAATATTCATTTAAGACGAACCTGTGGTGTGGCATTTATAAGAACAGATTAATAGGACCTTCTTTTTTTCGCCAAGCTATGAATGCCGAACGTTATTTACAGTTTTTACAAACTCACATCAATGACTTCATGGACGAACTATCCTTACAAGAACGTCAATGTATTTGGTTCCAACAAAATTGTGCCACATGCCACAGTACATTGAATGTTAGGGAATATATTGAACAAATGTCCCATGGAAAAGTTATTCACAGATATTTTGATCTTTTTTGGCCTGATAGATCCCCCTCGACTTAACCCCCTTTGATCACTTCTTATGGGGTTACTTGAAACAAAAAGTTTACCAGAAAGGGCAGTTTCAAGATGTTAACCATTTGGAGAAGATAATTTTAGAAACATGCCAGGAATCTTCTCCACAAATGATAAGGAATGCATTACGCGAATTTGCTAAGAGAATGATTAAATGTATTGAACGAGAAGGTGAATATGTTGAGGCATTAGTGGAATGAGTGAAAAATAAATTTCTATTTATTTCTAGTATTATTATGTTAGTTACACACCTTAGTATTTGTATGTATTTTTTTATTTGTAAAATAAATGCATATGCATTAATTACGTGTTTAAATTGCAAAATTGTTAGAAAAAATTTGAAACGAAAAGATCATCATGTGTTTCATAATTACAAGAGATAAATGTTTATTTAAAATAGAAAGATTTGTAAAAAATAACAAAACCTAATTTTTCAATGTAGATACATGTAATATGCATATTTGAACGTAGTTTTTAGTTCTGATCAATTTCTCTTTATAACAATTTTCGATATTGTTAAATAAAAAGATATTTTACTCTTGAGTAAAATTCATATTTTTTGATAAACCGCGTATATGACTGAAAAAATTTAATATCTGATGATTGTATTTTAGATTTTAGCACATGCAAAACTTTTTATGAAGAATAACTTTTTTCCTAAAATTAATAATAAAAAAGTTTTCCATATGGTTCTAACTTAGTGAGACATACTGTATATTGAAAATATGGAATATTTTTCTACAACAATGAAAACAAGAGCAGATTCTTATAGAATATGCTAGATAGAGTCGTTTTGATCTATTGCACCACGAAATGTACATGTTCATGGATCGAATAAAGCATCTACTTATCACTAGAACTTAAGGTGGCCATATCCCTGGCCGAGAAATGGTGAAATTTCTGGCATTTTTAGGTACTGAAGTCTTGAAAAGTAAAATGTGTAGAACAAAAGTAAGCACAAAAATAAAATCCTTGATGTTTTGTTTGTTCATTGTTACCATTTAAATTTACCCAAATAAAATAATAACTAAAAAAAAGCGTTTGTAAAACATGCGTTTTCTGTTATCCTAACCACACATTTTAAGAATTATTTTTACGTACTTATAAATAAAAGTAAACAATTTTATATGTAGGACTAAGCAAGTAAATGTTATAAGACATGTGGAGTTGTATATAAAAAAGTTAGTATTTTCGTAGATTTCAGTACCTAAAGCCTTGATGGCTTGATCGTTTTTTGCACCTGTTTATTCGTTTTACTGCGGCGTCTTTGAAAATACTCAGGTGGCATGACATAACATTCCTATTATTTGATAAGCTTTAGTTTATTCAGTTATTAAATGTTTGAAATTATTTGTCTTTGCGGAAAACACTATTTAAAGAATATGGGGCCCATAACAGTCTAAAGTAAGAAAAAATGTGTTCTATATTTATGTAATTATTTTTTATATTTTTATTACAATTCGTAATACGCTTAGAGCGATACAGTTTGGTTTGATTTCATTATTTTATTTACATGTGTAATTGCGTATTTCCGCTAAATTGAATAAAAAATTCATTCCGTCAAAATGATGAGCATAAACTTAGTTTTGCCTAATAAGAAACATCTGACTGAGAAGGTAGGTAACTGTTTAAGATTTCCCTATAAAAACTGTATTATATGTATAATAAGTTCAAAATCAAAATGATTGAAATTCAACTGTGACAGTTTTATTCGTATCCATGTTATAAATGCTGTTGGATTTATTTTAGATAAAGGAATCTTATTGAATTAAGTTTTTCAAAACATTAGTTTTCGATATAAATGATTGTTCAATATATGTGACATTTATTGAAATATATTTGTCGGCACAATTCATAGAGTAATAGAATATTTCTAATAATTAAAAGTCTGTATATTTCATAACTATATCTACATTTTACATTTAAACATGCTACATTCAACTTCTGTATGAGACTACGATATATTTGTACCTAGTAATCACATTTTTTTATATTTTAGTTCCACTTTGACCTAAATATGTAAATTAAAAATGAGTTTTTCACAAAACTCTTGAAAACATGTTTGAATATGTTTGATGTAAATTGATGAAACTTGAAATGCTGATAGTATTCTAGTATTTCTATCACAGGTTGAAAATTTTGTGAAGTGAATTTTTGCCTTTAGTTATAATTAAATTATTGGCTATGTTGAAAGACAATATGTATACAGGGTGGTCCCGAGGTAATGGGCCAAAATTCATGGGTACATTCCCCAAGCAAAAATATTGCGATTTAGCCGAACTTACCTTAGTCCAAAAGTTGATAGTTAAAGTAAAATATTTTTTCAGTTTGTTTTAATTTATTCCTTAACAAATCCAAATATCCTCACAAAATTTTGGACATTGGATTTCTTTGAGTAGAAGAATTGTAATCTGTTCACATTTTGGTTAAAGTTCATAGAGGGCGCTAGCTGCGGTAGATTGAATGTGTTAAAAATGACATAACTTTTTTTTACTTTAAGGTATCTTATCTTTGGTAACAAATTCTTATTTTTCAACTTTTTTTACACAAAAAATGTATACTTTATTAAAGTAGCTATCTCGCACCGTTTTCGAGATATTTGGCTTTGAAACTTCCAATGCTGTTGCATTAAATTATAATTAAGTACCTACAGGTATTATAAATTTAGCGGTAAAGTTTCTTATGTAGGATTTGGACGAAAATCAAATAATTGACGTCTTCTACTTGTCTTATTGCTGTCATTTGTATGCTAATTTCTATTAAGTATTATTCGTATCTAATTAAAATTACAATTTAAATTGTATACTCGTATACATAAATGTGAGATAGAATGCCGAGATTTTCGTTTTTGGAGTTACATGAAATCAGTTGTCTATGGAGAAACTATAAACACCTGAGAAGAACTTTAGCCTCAGGTTTTAAATGCTGCAAAGTCAGTTCGCGTTATTTTTACTTTAAAATAAGACAATCTTTTAATAAACGCGTTGATAAATGTATTGAAGTTAGAGGTGGACATTTTGAGCAGTTATTGTCAAAAAGGCATATTTTTTACTAATGTTTACTATTTCACTGTTCATTACAATTTTTAACTCTAAGTAAACCCTTGTTTTTGATATTTCTAAATTATTTTAATTATTTCAACTATTAACATTGGAAGTTTCAAAGCCAAATATCTCGGAAACGGTGCGAGGCAGGTACTTTCATAAAGTCTATCTTTTTTGTGTAAAAAAGATTGGAAAATAAGAATTTGATACCAAAGATGAGATACCTTAAAGTACAAGAAAGT